TTGCGCAATTTTGGTAATATATCTGCTAAAATGAGCGTCAGTGTTGTTTTCATTTTTGTGTAATTTAGACGACAATTACATACATAAGTCTAGAAGTTATTAATAATTTTGCAGATTTAGATTTCAGCACTGAGCAAATATTTCCCTCTCCTGAAATAAATAAATTTTATTATTTTTCAAGGCAATGCTTGTGATATGACATGATACAAATTATCTTAATGTTTTTCCTTTACATATATATATATTGATTGGCTCTGCATGTCCTAAAACACACACACACACACATACACACTTTCTTTCTATCACTCTCTCACAAACATATAATTTACAGTTGATCGATATTTATTGAAAGTGCTTAAATGCAATTTCTTACCTTCAGTATAAACTTTATATTTATGACTCATTCCTTGATGGCAAACAATCTTAAACAATACTAGTGCAAAAATACAACACAGAGGAAATAGCCTATAAATAACCTATAAATAATCTATAAAAAGCCTATAATTAATCCTATTCAGTAGCCATTTTGAACAATGTCATAACTCAGAAGCTGTCGAACTTCAACCTATAATAGCTTAGTAACAAATATATAAATAGTCAAGCTCCACTTCTGAATATACAACAGACAGGACATGATCTATAAATAGACTATAAATAGCCTAAAATTAATCCTATTCAGTAGCCATTTTGAAGAATGTAATAAGCCATTAACAACTGAACTTCAAGCCATAATGGTTTAGTGACAAACCTATCAATAGTCTACTCTTCTGGTCACATGGCCTGAATATAATACACAGGAAATAACATAGAAATAACCTATAAACAGCCTATAAATAGCCTATAATTAATCCTATTCAGCAACCATTTTGAACAACATCATAAGCCAGAAACAGCAGTAATATTTTAGTGACAAACATATAAATAGTCAAAGTCCTCTTCTGATCACATGGCCTGATGATTTGTTTTGAGGAGGAAATAGATTGTTGCCATTTAATTTTAACACCTGTATCCACACAGCTTATATCTCACCTCCTTTCTTCTTCTCTTTCTCTCTCTCTTTGCCCCCTCTCTCTTTCTTATTCTCTCTCTTTTTCTTTCAGTCTCCTCCCTCTTTATTTCTTGCCATTGACCCTTTGCCATCTATCTTAATGCTTGTTCTGTCATCCATTTACACAGGCTCCATAAGTAATTTCCCCTTGCTTCGTTTGCATTAAATGACCTGGCAATGTTAAATTTTCAAATTGTAATTATAAGTTTTGTTGCAGTTCCTTTTTTCTTCATGTAATCTTCATTGCTCACATGTTGGGTCCATAGTATTCTCAACATCCTTCTGTAGAACCGTATTTCTCTTGCCTCAAGTCTCTTTTTCATCTGTGAGGTGATCAGCCAACATTCATTGCTATATAGCAAGCCTGATATTACTATAACAGTTCAGTACATTTTTTTTGTTTCAATTAAAATTTTCTTGTTTTTTAATACTGTGCTTGGTACTTTTGTTATTCTAATGTTCCCTTTTAGTGTTGCATTTGCTGTCCTCTGTTTAAACTCTTCCTAGATATTTAAATTTTTGTACTTACTAAAACAGCGCGAAAACATCTATTTCTAAAAAAATAATCAAATGTTAAAAATGCACACATTAAAGTATATATCTACTAGTTTTAAATACATACACACTTGTGCAAATTAACTGAAAGAACTTCTTTTCCTTTCTTTCACCATACAGTCAGTTTTAGACTCACTGGATTGACAGGGTGTAATTGAGTTCAATTTTCTACCCTCAGATTAGGTCATTTGCAGTGTTGTGTAGCAAAATGAAACTATTTTCAGGGTGTATGATGAAATTTGTTTGGCCTTGAATAATATTGTGTCATCTGTGATTGCATCAGATTTTCATCACACCAAGACACTACTGTCTCGACTGTTGATTAGTTGTCCTATGACCATTGTCTGCGATAGACATTACTCCAAGGAAGTGTATGAAAATTGTAATGCTGCACAAACACAATGGCAAGCTTTACTAATGAGAAAATCAAAGTACTACTGACTGTCTCAGAAATTGTACTGATTTAAATTCGATCTAGAATCTGTGGTCAATCTGCAAGGAAAGATTTTTTGGAATGGATGTACAAAGTACTAACTTCTGCACTGGGTCATGTTTCATTGGAAAAATACGAAAAAAGTAAATAATAACGGAATTGTTTGTTTTGTTTCAGTTAATTTGCACCAGGGTGTACATTTCCATCTGTCTAGTAGGATGTGTCTACTCCTTGTTGTACACATCATTTAATGCAAATTTGTGTTTCCTCAGCATCTGCAGTGTTTCCTCAGCACCCACAGAGCCAACCAGTCTCTGTAGGACAGCACATAATTCATCATGGTAAACAGTTGAACACTCAAATGTGTGATCACTTATGACTTTGTGCTGGCACAACCATTAACCACCTCTGAACAATTTAATCACCCCAATATCACTCACAAGAACTGCTGTGATACTATCGACTCCCACATAGAAAGGAAAGATACAGTTTTATTTAAATCACAAGTATTTCTGTTTGATAGACAAGTAGATGGTTCCTTTTGAAGTTTGGTCTTCTAAGCTGCATTCACTTTAACCAAACAGTCTTCATTTATGTGCCGTGTCCCTTTAAGCCATAGGGGACCATGGCCCTCCACATCTTCCTTCCCCTTGTAGCTCTTAATAAATTTTGTCTTTTTGTTATTTCTCCCAAACCCTGTTCCACTGTCCATTTACTGAATCTCATCAAGTATGCTCCATTCTTCTGTCCCTCTTTCTATCAATCTATCCTGTGAGTATCAGATTTTCCAAGCCCTCCTTCCTCATTTTGTGCAACATAAATTTCAACTGCTGCTTACTGATGTTAAGTATAAGTTTCTTTTCTGTTTCCATTTTCTTTAAAATTTCAACTTTGCTCACATGTTCAGTCTATGGTATCCTCAGCACTTTTTTTTTTGTAGAGTCAAATTCCAAGTCTCTTTTTCATCTTTGAGGAGATTGTTCAACATTTACTGCCATACAAGAAGACAGATATCATGTATCAATTCAATACTCTTTTCTTTGTTTCTAACAAAATTTTCTGTCTCTTAATACTTTGCTTAGCTTTTGAAATGCATCTTTGGCTATTCCCGTACATGTAATAGGAAGTAATGGTGTGGATTTTGGATTTTCAGGGATAAAGTTATATTTAGAACTGGTGCTGATCTATATTAATAGTCATGCTTCGGATCGTGGGAAGTGCTTGTCCACCCTTGCTTGGAGAAGGAAGTGTCTGTGTTGTAGTTTCAAAGCCTCCATTTTGTATTGCAAGCCACCATGGGAGAGAAATTGCTAAGGGGAAGAGCTGACATAGCAAAAGTTGTCCCTAGTGTCACCTACATACCCTCCTCCATTATCAGGTGAGTCCCTGAATAAAACACCTACATATAATATTGGATACAGGACTTGTGTTCTTCTTTCTCAACATGACTTCACTTTCATTATCTTATCTTGTGAGCAAGCAGCTTCTCAGATTTTGGTGCATACCAACGTACTCACTGGATGGTCAGTAGAAAGATTGTGTGTTTATGCTACCATTTTGGGCAACAAACTCCTGTGTCAGTACTTTACTGTACTTATAAAATCATAACCTCTTCAAGGGTCACTCATTATCAGTCCTCTTTATTATCATGATCTTCACTTCCTACCATTTTTTATTTCATTCATTTCTCATTCATTCTTAAACATGAGGCATGATTTTTAAGCACTTCTCAATAATGCCGTGAGCTGGGATCATCACCTTACACTGATATTCTAAAGAAGTGAATGGGAGAATTGAATATGGATCTCACTGTCAAAACACTACCTTTCTAACCACTATGTTCTATATTGTAGAACTCCCGAGAGGATGCTTCCCTGAACATTACAATCTTGACCTCTTCATTTCAACTGTTATCTATCTTACATATCCTCATAAACTTTATATGTTTCCTCCTCTTATATAGAACAATGTCAATCAGTAATTCCTTTTGTATTCCATTTGTAAATAAGATGTTCCACTCAGAGAGCTTCTCCCCAAGATTTATTACATTGTCAACCAGACTCACAAGTGGATGATTCCCTGAATATTACAATCTTGACCACTTGATTTCAACTGTTATCTATTCTGCATATTCTCATAATCTGTACTTTTACCTCTTATCCCCATAGAGTATCATCAATCAGTATTTTTCTTTATATTCCATTCGTAAGGAGGAAGTTTCTAGAAAAACCTCCTACATGGGTGTTTCCCTGAAAAAATGAATATTAACCTCTTCAAGTCAAGAATCAATCGTTATCTATCCTTCTTTTCCTCATAATCTTTACTTCCTACCAACTACCAACTACTAGCTCATTCATATCACACACCTCATTCATATCACACACCTCATTCATCATTATAATTCCAACTATAACGCACTGCCTTGAGTGGCTCCGAGGGCTTGTATTGGACATATTTTAGTATGAAAATATTTTACAGACGTTAACTGCGGAATTTCCTTTAACTTCATACAATAGACTACTTCCAGTTGTCTCCCCCACCCTGATCTTTAGGATGGCACTGACCATGAGTGAAAGTTGTTGAAGAGTGGCTTGCCTGACTGCTTACTAACCTAATAAGATATGAAGGTGAGGAGATGTTTTTTTTTAGTCTGATATTTTTATCTTGTCAGCATAAACAAATCGAGCATTATCTGGTGCTGTTTGCATTTTTTGTGATGGCCTTGGGTTGGGGGAAAATTGTTATCAGGAAGAAGAGAATTTTTATGGCCTCAAAATTTCAATTAGAAAATATTTCTGGAATTTTTGGAATAATTCTTTTGGATGTTTCTGAAGGTTTTCCAATCTTTGTTTTTGTTTTCAACGGTTATTTTTTTATTTTTTTTATTTTTTACTCTAATGGTTGGGGATAAAGGAAAGAATAAAAGAAAAAGAAGAGGAAAGTTAACATAGTTGAAAGGAAGAATCAATAGTGGCAAAAGAAAATGGGTAAAATATACAATAATGAAGACAAATAGGAAGAAGAGAAAGTAAAAAGAAAAAGAAAAAAGGACGAAGAAAAGAAAAAGGGTGTAAAGAAAGAAAAAGGGAAGAAAAGAGTAAAAAAAAATTCAAAATAAAAAGCAAAAACAGAAAAAAAGGATGGAAAGAAAAAAAGGAAAAAGAAAGAAAATAAGAACGAATAAAAAAAAGAAAGAAAGAAAAATAAAGAAATAAAGAAAAATGGAGAGAGAAAAACTAAATGGTCAAAGAAAGGAAAAAGGATAGACAGAAAAGAAAAAAAGAAAAGAAAAAGAAAATAGAGAAAAAAGAAGTTAACGAAAAATTGCGAGAAAAAGAAAAAAGGAGAAAAGAAAATGAAGGAAGAAAGAAAATAGAAATGAAAGAAAAGAGAAAAGAAAGAAATAGGAGAAAAACAAGAAGGCAATAGAAAGCAAAAGGGGAAAGAAAAAGGTTAAAGAAAAATGATGGAAAGAAAAGGAAAAGGATGCAAAGAAAGAAGAAGAAGAAAAACAGAACGAAAAAAGAAAGAAAGTGAGAAAAAAAAAATAAAACCATAAAAAAATATAACGAAAAGGAGGGAGAGAACTAACAGGTCTAAAACCCATTTCTTTCATTCTTTCTTGTGTAAGAAAGAAGGAAAGGAATAAAGCAATCAAGGGAAAGCAATGAATAGAGCAAATTAGAATGAAAGAAAAAATAGGAAAAAGATAGTGAAACACCAGAGGATATATATATATATATATATATATATATATATATATATATATATATATATAATGGTGGTACTCACTTGGAAAAACCTCGGATAGCTCAACTTGCAGTAGAACAAATTGTTACCCGAGGAAAAATGGGGAATAAAAAAAAGAAAGAACCAAGAACATTAAATAAAGGCGAAAACAATTATCCAGTGTTTAAGCTCCAAGTCCAAAGAAAAAAAAAAGACCAAAACGAGTAAAAAGTGCAACTACGTAAAGTGCTCAATAAACTACGTAGAGCAAAACCTAAGATAATCCTAAGGAGCCAGGCAAACCTACCTAGGTTTCACCTAAACGGATCTTCAGGGTAAAGCAAAGGTTTTTAGCAATAAATACTCCATAATTTTCCTTTTCAGCCGTCTTTACCCTGAAGATCTGTTTAGGTGAAACCTAGGTAGGTTTGCCTGGCTCCTTAGGATTATCTTATATATATATATATGAAGAAAATATCTGGAAAAACAAAACAAAAATCCTTAAAATGCGATTATGTTGTTTCAATATGAATGAAATGTCGACGTCTGACGTTTCGGTTTAAAAACCTTCTTCAGGACAATATTCATTAAAAATACAATTAACATAATCAGTATAACACGACGAAAATGATGGACATAAAAACAAGTCTTATCCAAAACAGATAAATGAAAATTTAATGAATATTGTCCTGAAGAAGGTTTTTAAACCGAAACGTCAGACGTCGACATTTCATTCATATTAAAACAACATAATCGCATTTTAAGGATTTTTGTTTTGTTTTTCCAGATATTTTCTTCATTCTGTCGGATTTATATCCATTTATATTTTCTTATCATATATATATATATATATATATATATATATATATATATATATATATATATATATATATATATATACATTATTCGGACTATTGTCCTCATCTTTGTCGCCATATTTATCACAACGTTTCGTTGCACGCTCCGGGTTCAGTTCGACATTCCAACCATCTGAAGAAGGCCGGAGCGTACAACGGCCGAAACGTTGTGATAAATATGGCGACAAAGATGAGGACAACAGTCCGAATAATGTAAATAACATATATATATATATATATATATATAGAGAGAGAGAGAGAGAGAGAGAGAGAGAGAGAGAGAGAGAGAGTCAGAGAGAGAGAGGAGAAAGAGATAAAATAATATGAAAGTAGGAGCTATTTTTTATTTATTTGATCGTCCGTTTGCACAGACGAAATGTAACTAAAACATGTGGTATTGATTATTAACACGGATGTGCGTGCGTGTACATACATACATACATACATGATATGATATTTACGACTCGATTTCGAGTAATCCCATTACTTCATATTTTTCTCAAAACTAAACTTCTCGCTGTTAATCATCTGCAAGCACCGTTTCATGGCTGATGCTAACCCCCAGGAGAACGACTCGTTGCGTCTTCTCGGGCGAATGTTTTCTGCTGACATGAGTTGGAAAGGTTATATTGAATCAATTGTTAGGTCTGCGGCTAGTAAATTTGGTTCCCTGTGTTGTGCTAGACAATTTTTCACGCACATCTAACATATTTATAAATCTGCCATTCGTCCATACTTTGAATATTGTTTCCAAATATGGTCTGATGTTCTTGCTTTATATTTAGAGATCCTTGGTAAGAATCTTCCAAAAAATCTGCAATGTCATTGTTCCTGACCTAGCACCTTCAATCACTTTGCCACCGCCGTAAACACCTGTTCTCGTGCGATCACCGAAGTTAAGCAACTTCGAGCCTTGTACGTACCTAGATGGGTGACTGCTTGGAAAGACCAAGTGCTTTTTAGCTTGGGTGAGCAGTTAGTGTAATGAATAGTGTCTCGGAATTGGATGACAGACATGATACAGAAGGTGATATTGCTGATGTGACCTCCATTTTCTGGATTTCTCCTTTTTGGATAGGAGTCATCTCCATGTTCAAATTTAATCTAAATCAAAGGGAAAAACGATTTCAGTGTAGGAAGTGGTCACCCACCCACGAGACTACTTTTAATCAAAATGAAATATACTTATCTAAGTATCCTAAGGGGCATTTCCTTGTTCAAATTTAAATGTTATTTATTTCCAGTTTTAGTCGGATTCGTTAGATTCAAATACCCCTGAGAAAGGCATAAATCCACTTCTCCTTTCTTTGGTGTATGGGCGCATCTCTAATTATTTGGATTTCCAGTGCCTACATCTAATCTCTCCTTTGGCCTAACTATCATGGTTCAATGGCAGAAAGACTGGCTGGTATAATTCAATGCATCTAAAACAAAGCTAGTAACATTTCATCAATACCGAACAGACTCTAAACCTGCACCAATCCTGATGAGTTGTCATACCGTCGAAGAAGCATCTTGGATTGAAGAACTAACAGGTCTAAAGCCCATTCCCGGCCACAGATGGACGTGTATATTCGGAAGAATGGTTGTTTTCTTGATAGGCTTAAGAAAATACCCGACTCCTACAACCAGGCTCTATCTATACAAAAAATCAGGTCGAACCAAGAATGAAGTATTGTTGCACTATCTGACAATTAGATTTTCATAGCTACGACATACCATAAAACGTACACTTGATTGACTCATCATTATTCCCTTCATATTCAATTAGTATGGAAGAAGTTCCACCAGCACAGACCTTCATTGCTAGGACCCACCATGCCACGTACACTTGACAGTCTCATCCTTATTCCCTACATATTCCATTACGAAGGAAGAAGTTTAACCAGAACTGACCTTCATTGCTAGGACCCCCATGCCACGTACCCTTGACAGACTCATTCTTATTCCCTTCATATTCCATTACGAAGGAGGAAGTTTCACCAGCTTAGACTTTCGCAGTTATGATCCAACGTTCTATGTTCACGATGGCAAATAATACTCATTTCCTTTGTGTTCCTTTGATATGAAGTAAGTTTGACCCACACAGATTTTTGCTTAGAACTGTAACTTTGTGGAATAAACTCCCAAGAGGATGATTCCTGACTACTTCATTCTTGATCTCTTCAAAAATGTAGACGTCTTACCTACTCCTTTCTCCTCCCGATCAACAATCTTTCTAAGTAACCCTTTACCAGGAGTGGCTCTTTGGGCTTGTATTAGGACAACTAGAAATAACAAAATGTTCTAAATTTTCAACTTTTTAATTTGTGTTGTTCCCAGGTCCACCCTGACCCGAGGTGGTAGCACCTTTTAGGATTCCAGTTATGCGAAAATATTGTTTTGATCTTTCGTGGTTCACGAGGTACAAAAATGCATTATGGTAAAACTTCCAGCAATATATTTATTAGAAAAAAAAATAACGAGTTGTAATACATTTTTTTAGCAAATAACAATGAATACAACATTAAAGTATAGAAGTGCACTTTGAAGTAAAATTAACAACAATACATTTATTTCGAAACTATATATCTAAACATATATTTGCACTAGAAGTCTAAAATTATGTACAAACTATCTATCAGGTCATCCCATAAGTTCTGTCCGTATTTTGAATAAAGAAAACAAGTGACCAAATGTTACATTTAATTACAGATTCAATCAACAATGTATTTTCCCTGATTATCTATGACTTCCTTCCATCTATTAACAAGCTTACTAATTCCATTACTGTAAAATTATTTTGGCTTTGATTCGAAGAACTCACAAATGTCAGTTTTAACCTCTTCCTGTGTTACAAAAGCTGTTTCTTCCAAATGATTCTGTAAGCTACGAAACAAATGGTAGCCTGAAGGAGCAAGATCGGGAGAATAAGGTAGATGAGGAATTTTCTCCCGACCAAGTTCTTCAATCTTTTTGACGTGATTCTTGTGTGGGGTCGCGCATTGTCCTGATGAAACATCACCCCTTTTCGATTCACTAGAGCAGGTCTTTTTTCCTCAAAGCTTGGTTCTAATTGCTGACAGTATATTTGAGCATTAATTGTTACATTAGGTGGTAAGAATTCAAAGTAGATTATTCCTTGGCGATCCCACCAGATTGAAAGAAGAACCTTTTGCCCATGAAGTTCCCTTCTCGGCTGTGGCTGGGGTCCTTCCCCTTTACCAAGCCACTGTCTACGACGCTTAACATTTCGATAAAAGATCCATTTTTCGACGCCAGTCACAAGTCTATCCAAGAAAGGTGAAACAAGTTGGTGAGAATGGAGAGAAGAGCAGATGTCAACTCGGGATTTGAGGTTGTTTTCAGACAATTCATGAGGCACCCATTTTCCAAGTTTAAGCACTTTTCCAAGTTGTTGAAGATGACGATGAACAGTTGTATGGTTTGAAATGAGAACCACTGTCAATTCCTCAACTGATAAGCAGGATTTTCTTCAAGGGCTGCTTCAAGAAGCTTTTCATCAAACTCAACTGGACGTCCGGTTCGATCTTCATCTTCAAGGGTGAAATCTCCACCTCTGAATTTTGCAAACCATCTTCTGCAAGTTCTTTCATTCACACATTCCTCTCCATAAACTGTGTGAATGTTTCTAGCTGCTTCGGCTGCTGAGTTTCCTTTCTTGAACTCATAAATCATGATGTGCCTCAAATGATTCTTGGGTACATCCATGTTAGCAGGGTTTTAATCGAACAAAATTTAATTTTATTGTTCTCTGAAATAAAATTTGATCAGTTTAAATGCATCTCAATATAAAAATAATGTTCAGCTCCATTAGACATTATAAAATACTCTTTAAATTTCGTTCATTTTAACAAAAAGTTAAAATTCGGACAGAACTTATGGGATGACCTGATAGTTGAAGAAAAACCGCCCAGAAAAAAAATCTAGGTTTCATAATTAAATAAACCATGGAAGTCTTGATATGCCGCTAAACAAAAACAACCAAACAATAAAAGCTTTTTCTCGGACAGTGTCCATCTTGCACATTTCTAAATCTACCATTCGTCCGTGCGTTGAATACTGTTGTTGTTATATCTGGTCTGGTGCTCCTGCTATTCATCTCGAGGTTCTTGATAAAATCCAAAAAAATGATCTGTAATGTAATCTATCGTGACTTCGCATCTCGACTTCAGTGGCGTGGCTTCTCTCTGTCTTTTCTACCACATATTTTCATGGCGACTGTTCTGATGAGATCTTTTCCATTAATCCTCGACTGCGTGAATTTAAGCCTACTACTAGATTGGCCACTTGATCTTGCACATTTACAAATTTACCATTCGTCCGTGCATTGAATACTGTTGTTGTTATATCTGGTCAGGTGCTCCTGTTTGATTCTCCTGCTATTCATCTCGAGGCTCTTGACAAAATCCAAAGAAAGATTTGTAATATAATAGATCCTGACCTGGCATCTCGACTTCAGTCACTTTCTCACCGACGTGACATGGTTTCCTTCTGCCTTTTGTGCAAATATTTCCATGGCAACTGCTCTGACGAGCTTTTTTCCCCTGGTGCTCCAACTACATGAATTTAAGCGTGCTACTAGATTGGCATTTAGGTCCTACCCATTTACTGTTGAAATAGCTAAGTTCAACCGCCACTTATACTCCAATAGTTTCTTTTCTCACACCTCTCGCCTGTGAAACCCCTTCCGTTTACTTCCTTCCTTGATAAATAAAATTTAAAAAAATGTAAACACAACGTCAATCGGTATCTTCTGTCTTCTTGAATCCCTTTTGTTATTTCCCCACGCCTCCCTATACTCAGTCTTTTGTCTCACTAATCTCTGCTCACACTTTCACTCTTTGTAAACTCCTGCGTACTCGTGGTATTCGCGCCTTGCTTGGGGTGAAATGATTTTAGAAACAAGAAAAAAAAAAAAAAAACTAAAAAAACATGTAAATTTACATCTTAGTTAAATACAGTTTGGTTTGAAATATTTCATTGCCGATCCCTGCCCAATACATACTCTAAAGTGACATTGTTGTTAAATAATATTTGGTCGGAAACCTTTCTGTGTCGATGTATTGTCAAGATGTGCTTTAAATATATATACAGTCTCTTAATTAAATGTCTCTTTGAAATGTTTACAGCGTGGATGTTTTGTTTTTTGAAGAACTGAGCTGATTTTAAATCTTGTTTAAATTATATTTGGAAAAAAATCTTTATCAATGCCTTCTCAAGATAAGCTTTGAATTTATATCTAAAATCAATGCTGTTCCGTTTCTGTGATGCTGATTACTCAACAACTCAAAGTTTACATAATCTCACATTTTATGGCATGGAATTTTTCTTCATTCATCCTCTTATTTAAAAGGATGAAGGAAGAAAAAGTTTCATACCATGCTCTTATTTAACTGTTTCTTTTAGCTGTAAACCGTTCTGTATTTATGTCTTTTGAAAATAATTTCTAAATCAGTGGTTGTTAACTTGTTTTTTTTTTTACACCATTGCACCATTTTCACTTATATCAGTATATTATTCTCACCCCTTTCCGAGATTGACCAACTCACAAGACATATTCCAAATAATATGCGTATATTATTAAACAAATCTTCATTTTTTTCCATATTAGTACATATACATTTGTAGGGATTATTTTTACGTAATAATTTTTTTATAAATGTTGCTTTGACTTTGTTGGTTTTAAAGAATCATTTGACAAAACTTTGCAACGCTGTGGCCTTCCTTCTTCTTTGATGATGATGGATGTGAATCAATAATACTTTTTTTTATTCGATGGTGAAAACGTTGCAGATTTCTTCTCGAATCCATTTACAAAAAACAATTCCACCATTTTGAGTGTGCAAGATTTTATCAGGGTTTCTTCAATTGTGTTTTTTTCTGCTTTGCTCTCTCTAATTCCAGTTTCTCTCGACTACGATCGTCAAACATTTCAATGCAACGTCTATCGTCAT